CTCGGCCCGCCCCGCCCGGCCCGCTTCGGCTCGGCCCGGTTCCGCTCGACTCGACCCCGCCCGGCCCGGGGCACAGCTGCAGAATAAAGGGAGGACCGCCCCCAAGAGGTTAAAGTGCCTCCCTCCTGTCTGGCAGGCTGGCGGCTGCCCCACAGCGGAGTGGGGTACTGTGTCCGAGGCCCGTGCGTCGTCTCCCGCTGAGGCCCTTCTCTGCCTCGTTCCTCCTCTGTTCCCGCGCTCCAGCTAGTGCCGGCTGTCTCATCTCTTCCCTGTGATGCTCCTGCGGGGAGATCACCCTGTGCGGCTGCAGAACACGGCTGTATCGTGATCGGAACCTGCGCTCACTTGACCCACCACCACAGCTCCAGCCCTCGCGATGTTACTGCACGTCTCACTGGCATGGCCAATGAAGCCCGATGTGAATTGTAAACATTTGGGGAGTAACATGAAAAATGAATTTTTAGTTATCCTGCTCTGTTGCGGCTGGGGCCGCAGGGAGAGCAGCTCCAACATGTGCAAACGCATAATGCACACAAGCAAAACGAGAACCAAAAGTCCCTAAGAACCGTGAGTAGAGGGCCAGAGATACAATCAGGACCCAGCAGAGCTTAGCAGAAACAGGGGGACATCGCTCGACCCAGGGCCGGTACCGCTCTGTATTTTGAACTCTAGTGCGCAGTAAAACGCTCCATATGATACAGATAGGGCATTTTGTGACCTCTGGGAGCCCTGAGCAAGTGCCGCGGGGACACGCCGGCGGGGTGCACTGCACAGGCAGCTTCCTCTGGGGCCGCTTCCTCTTTCCAGTTTGAACCCGCCCTACGGCGGAGTCCGCGGCGGTGCGGGGGCGACACCGGAGCGCTGGCGACCGCTGAGCCTTACGGCTTCGGCAGCGGGCCCGGCGTGGACTACAAGTACCATGAGCTCCCATGCCAAGGGGGTGGGGATTCCCTGAACGCCCGCTCGGAGCCGCACTACAGGTCCCACGATGCCTCACGCCGCCTGGTGTCTCCGCTCCGGTCCCGATTTAAATCCAGGCAGTGAGGAAAATGGCGGTGCGGAGCTCAGTGTGGGGGAGAAGGAGATGTAGCTGAGGTTTGGCACATTTCCCAGGTGAGTGGGGTTTGGAGGGAGGGAGTTCTAGTTCGCGTTCCCCTGCTTCGAGTGCTGGGGTGGGACTGGAATGGCGGAGGGAGCGCTGCCCCTTGCCAGAGAAGGGAGAAGCTTGGGGGGTGGCCCTGAGGGGCGGCTCTTTTCCGTCTCTCACCCCCCTCCTCATTATGAATGTGGCTCCCTGAGGGGAGGAGGAAGGGGAGCGTAGACGGGATGTATGTGGAGGAGGGCTGGAGATGAGGGAATTCCCCGGGCAGTGCGTGGCTGCCTTAACCTCTTTCTAGCTATTGTAACTTTACTGGTGCCTGAGTTTTGAAGGGGCATTCCTGGGGCAGTGGCGGGGAATTGATGCGTGGACTGAATGCTTCCCGCATCTCTGGGTGATGCATATCCAAGTATGGTGATTTTGGGTGGAGGTTCCTCGTAAAATACAGAGACCTGAGGTCGCTTGGCTTTAGAACCGTCTGACCCACGGTTTCTCAGTCTGAGCAGAGGCGGGGTGTGGGTGAAATACCTCGGTTAGAATGGCCCTCTCTGCCATTCATCTAAGTTTATCTGGTACCGAGGCTGTTCCAAAGACCTTGAAATCCTCATTCTCCTGGTCATCCTGTAGTCTCGGTAAGTTTTAGAGCTGACTTCCCTTGTCTCCTTATCTGCCACTAAGAAAAGGGATGAAAAATACTGCAGCTGAAAGGTTCATTTCCACGTCTCTTATTCATTTCTGTCTCGTAGCTGTAATGAAACTGTTGTTGAGGGGTGGAGACGAGTTTGTTTGGGTTTTTCCTCCCCCCGAGGTCGCGTGCCACTTTAGGTGTTAGTGTTTCTGGGATATAAATAGGGTGATTATGAGATATAATGTAGCGTGAGGTTGAGATAATTCCCACAATTCTCTTTCGTCGGTTCTGTTTGTGGTTTCTGCTCCTATTTCTAAGCACGGTCAAGTTTTCCTTTAAAAGCGAAGCTTCTCAATTTGTCAGCTCATATTCAGAATCATTTGAATCCTCGTTGTCTTCTTCCTCTTTCAGACAGAAGTTAACAGAAAATAGTATGTTGGATTCTAACTGGAATAACAAGACAAAAGGAAATCTAAAGGTGTGAGGGAGGCCAAGTACATGGTATCTAGAATACAGTTACAATGGATTCTTACAATAAGCTTAAAATTTTATCATCACTATTGTAAAAATAAATATTTTCTCATGGAATATTTCCATCTTAAAATGTTCTGCTTCACATGAAACAAAGTAGTATGTTCTGAATATAAAATATAGCTTCATCGAAACAGATAGTATATGAGTGAAAACCAGAGAATAAAAGCATGGGTTTAGAGGAAACAGACAAAATTGGGTGCTGTTGGTGGGCTTTGGACTTTTTGTTTTGTTTCAGCTTCGTTACTTTGATTTTAGATCAAGATTGTGCATTATAGCATGCAGTACTTACATTTACTGTTAAGTGATGTTACAATGGGCTGTTCAACTGACTGTTGTAAAGAATTTCTTTCAACTTTGTTACTACTACTGTGGGGTTTTATTTTGGTTTTTTTACTAATATCAGTGGATTTGATGGATTCACTGCTGACATGTGAAGACAGAGGCTGTGGGATATGGGAAGTGATAGACAAAATAAACCCAGCATTCGGCCTCACTTTAAGTACCTTTCCTGATTACAGTGTGTTTTTGCCAGTCTGATTTTATTTGAAAAATGACTTGTGTGCATTTTGGGCTCGCCTGTGGCTTTGTGTTTCTTTTAACTGTTCATTTGAGGCCCTTGTTCATCCTGGCTTTGGATTTATTAACTTGGAAGTTTTGCATTGACTAGTTACCAATTTTATTGTTTTTTTGGTTTTTTTTTGTTTGTTTGTTTTATTTTGTTTTTTTTTTTGTTTTTTGCATTTTATCAGTGATGTATACCCTAATGTATAGCTGAGACAAAATGCAGATGAGGAGGAAGCAAGTCTGTTTTACAATGGAACCTTATCTTTTGATCATGGTGGGGTTTTTTTAAATAATGGACAAGAAATCGTAATCACAAAACCTTCAAAATTAATCTCTGTGGCACAGTTTCATAGAAAAAGGGGGGGGAGTGTTTTTATTTTTCAAGAACTATGGGAAAGAAAAGGTGTCTTGATTATATTTGCCTGCAAAATCAAACCATTTGTAGCATGTGAAAAGGTATTGGACGCTACAGTCTGACACTACAGGCTGCTTCAGCCTGCATTTAAATGTGTCTCTCTTAAACAGCTGTACCATACAGGATCTTCTGCACTTCATGTTTGAGCTTTTTGGGTATTTAGAAAGATCTTAAATATTCTTCTGACTTGTTTTAATAATAAAAAAAATTTGAGGAGAATGGGAGGGGAGGAATAGTGCCCTTTATGCCAAAGATATAAGAGAGTGGGGAAGGATATCTAACCTAAATGCTGAGGCAGCCTGCCTATGTAGTTTTTTTCATTTCTATTTCCCCCTTTCCCCCCTGGCTAGATCTGTTGATGTTTCTAGATGTAGTGTATTAGGAAAGAGGCAATTGTAAAAGAATTTAACTGCTATTGATTTAAATCTGCTATGGAATGTATTTCCACTCTGATTTTTGTATGCTGCATTTAGTTGAATGAAGGTACATCAAATTATTTTGTGCACCATATAAATGGTAGGTATATTTCAGATGGATCCTGGTACTTTAATAATACTTAATTGGTGACTTTTTAAATTTACAGTCATCAATAAACTGATTTTTGAAAAGTGAAACAAAATTACCTAGCCTTCAATCTCATGAAGGACTTTTACTCTTCTGTGCGCAGTATGTCTAATAACAGAATGCTCTGCCTCACTGAAACATCCCAAAGTGATTGAACAGGTAATGGAACAGGGATTGGGTTGGGTGACTTTTGTTGCCATATTTTTTAATGGCAGGGTTAAGTAAAAGACAGAACTAAACAATTTGCTTGCAAAAAAAAACAGTGAAATACATATTCTCTGCAGTATTTAGGGGAAACAATTGTTCAGAACAGTCAGTCAGGAGATGAGTTCTCTGCTCTGGGTGGGTCCAAAGAAGTAAATAAATCTAAATTGAAGGTAGCATTCCTCTGGTTTTGCTTTGTGCACTCAATTTGCAATTCCAACAATTTGCCGATTTTCCTGCAGAGTATATTAACATCTTAACATTGCTGGGTTTTTTCATCACATTCTCTGGAGGTTAGTAAGCCACAGAAAAGGGTAAAATGGGCTACTTTCTTTTTGCTGTTGAGTGTGTCTGTGGGGGTAACAGCCAATATAGTCTATGCGGATAAACCTTTCCTAAAACCTTTTAGACAGACATTAGGAGCGTGTCTGTGTGTGCGTGCGTCTGTGTGTGCGTGCGTCTGTGTGTGCGTGCGTCTGTGTGTGCGTGCGTCTGTGTGTGCGTGCGTCTGTGTGTGCGTGC